AGTAGCTTCAGTGGCAGGCAAGATTAGAGTGAGTCCCCTTAGATGGGTTGGTCTAGGGGTGTAAATGATTCAAGTTGACTTGAGTTTGAGCTTGAGCTTTTACTCTAGTTTAAGCCTATGAGTAGGATTGTTTATTATAAAAGAGAGAAAATAATAATAATTTAAACTAGTGTTATAACAAAATGACAAATATAATAAGAAATAAGGAGATACATAATAAGAAATCACTTGATATAGAATATAAAATATCTTTTTTTAAACATTTTTAATAATTTAAATATAGAAGTCATGAAGTTTCATATGCTTTGAGTATATTTTATATTAATATTTTTTTAAACGAGTTAACTCACGAGGTAATGAGTCAAGTCGGGGCTTGCTTGAACTTGGCTTATTAGCTCATCAAACTTATAGATCACGAACAACATATCTAGCCTAGCTCAAGTCATCTCATGAGTAGGATTGACTTACTTACATCCCTTGTTTGGTCACATTAAGTGTCAACCATTGGATGACCCAGTAAGCAGAGTGTGCTTTAGATTTTACTTATGTTAAGAAGGATAGACATATGCCTAAAAAGACTTGGGCATGTTGTATAAAAAGTAATTTTAATTTATTAAAATTAAATGAAAATATGACACGCAATAGGACAAAATGGAGAAAAAAGATTCATGTAGCCGACCCCACTTAGTGGGATAAAGGCTTGTTGTTGTTGTTGTTTTTGGAGTGTCTGTTGCTTGAAGGATCAAAGTGGTGATATCTTCCGGATGTTGGAGGCCCTCTTCATCCAACTTGCAACAAACTGCTGTTTGCAACAGGAAAGTTGTTTTTTTTCGTTCCGGTTTGCTATCTTGTTGTCATCCGGTCATAATTTCAACCGCCGTTCCTTTTTTTTTACTCATCCCATAATATACCTAGCTCTTTCTTTTGTTCTTTCACACATTCTAGGAGTCTTAGAACTGTATCCGTTCTATCATTGATACTTTTAATAACATCAACATATTTTTGTTACACCTTTTTGCTTTTAAAGCGCATTAAATGAATTCTTACAATATTTGATCATGTGCATTACCAATTTCAATAAATCATATGAAGATTTAATTTGTTCTCTAAACTTCTTCGTTGAATCTCTTGAAATAAACATTACTTCCATGGTAAATATTTTTGTGTAAAATCAAATAGATTCTTAAAGTTGATGTAATTTTTGGAGTCTGTACTCTTTATAGTTGCACAATCTTTAACATTACATATTAGTATTATAATACATTGATATCCTATTAGTTTCAAAGTTCTACTAAGAGAAGATTTGTTAGTCAAATTTGATACGCATTTAAAAAATTTCCAACATCAAGCACGAATCTTGAGATATGACACGGATCTCAAAATAAAATTTTTGAGCAAAGGAATTTCAAAATTTGATTCAAAGTTATTCAGAGCTCCTATTTGTGCAAATTTATAGTCAAACTGTCTAGCTCAACGAGATTGACCCAACGATACAAAAATCAGCCCAATTCGAGTCGAATTAAGCCCAGATCAAGCCAATAAACTACTTTTAAAAGCTTTTCAGGCATACTTAGAAGGTCAAATGGGTGTCAAATATGGAATAATTATAGTCAAATCGAGTGTCTCGATGAGACGAATCCAATGAGCCTAATATAACTCAATTTCAACATTATTAAGACAGTCAAATGTCCATCAAACGCTGTCCGATCGGGGGGATTTATTATGATCATCTGATCAAGAGTATTTTGGATTCCTGCCTTATTTGCAATTTAGACTGTATAAATAGAAACTCAAGCTCTTCATGAGAGGGGACCGAGGACCAGAGCGAGAGAGAGAGCATAGTCTTCATAAGAGAGAGTTGCAGCCAGCCTCCTGCATCGCCGTCTCCGACCGCCACCGCCTTGCGGTCGCCACTACCCTTAGGCCACCGCCGTCTTAGTGTAATGCCCCTCTGCCGCCACCCTCCGGCCCCTGTTGTTGCCGTCGCCACCGTCTCAAGCTGCCGCCACCGTCCTCCACCACCGTCTCAGGCTGCTACCGTCGCCTCCTGATTGCCGTCGCCTCCTGACTGCCACCGCCTTCCAACCGCCGTCGTCTCACTTCGTTGCCTCCTACCGACAGTTGCCTCCACCCTCCGGTCGTCACTATGTCGCCACCTACCGGCAGTTGCCTCCACCCTCCGGTTGTCACTGTCTAAGGGCATCGCTGCCTCCCAACCACCTAAGCCTTTGGCTGTCGCTGCCTTCTGGTAGTCGTTGCCTCTGCTCTCCAGCCGTCACTATCCACAGTTGGCCGCCACCGCCACCGCATCTGCTCTCTAGCCGCGACCGTCGCCGTCTCAAGCTGTCGTCGCCTCCTTGTAGCCACCACCTCCGTCGCCGTCTCAGGCTGCCGCCTCTATCGCCTTAAAGTCGTCGTCATTAGATCGTCCCCGTCTCAGGCCGCCACCGCTTCCAATCACTGTCACCGTATCTAACCAACTTTGGCCTCGACGACCTATGGAATTTATCACAGCTCACTAATATGACTTATGTGGTTCATAACTCGTGCAACTCCCGACTCCGGCCATGTGGCCTACGGACGTCGTCACAGCTCACGGCTAAAGCTTACGTGATCAACTATTGCCTACGTGGTTCATAGCTTGTTCAGTTCTCGACTCTAGTCTCGCAACGTACAAACGCCATCAAAGCTCGCCACTACAATCTACGTGACAAACTACGACCTACATGACTCATAGTTTGTTCAGTTACCGACTCCAGCTACGTGACCTGCGCATATCATCACAGCTTGCCACTATGACCTACTGGACAAACTACGATGTACGTAGTTCATAGCTTGTGCAACTCCCGACTCCGACTTACGGACGCTGTCATAGCTTGCCACTACGACCTATGTGACAAACTATTATTTACGTGATCAACTACGACCTACGTGGTTTATAGCTCGAACAATTCCTAACTCTGGCCCCCGCGACCTACAGATGTTGTCGCAGCTTGCCACTACGACCTACGTGATCAATTATGACCAACATGATTCACAGCTCGCACGACTTCTGATTCTGGCCTCTGCGGACGCAGACGTCATTGTAGCTCACTACTATATTCCATGTGACCAACTGCAGTCTACGTGACTGACTGCTCCTATAGCATCTCATCACAACCTCAGAGGCCAACCGATACCTCTGAGACAACTATCTGCAGCTCACATGACCAACTAATATCATGGATTTCAACTACTTTCTATGCTATAAGCTGGTACTGCGACCACCGTCTGCAACATTTACGACAAACTACTGTCTCCATAGTTACCAACTACGACTCTTGCAACCTACTTTGATCGTGAATAACACTCATTACAGCTAGACTACGAGTACTATCGACGAACCACTGTTATACATTTATAATTATTATCTTTGTAACTCCATCTTTTCTAATTCAAGAGAAGAGTGTACCCATATATTTAAAATTATATAGTGGATCATTTCAACTGGGCAAGACCCCGTGATTTTTTCCATTTTCTAGGGTTTTCCACGTAAAAACTTCTAGTGTCGCTACTGGTTCTTTATACTTCAATTTGAGTGTGTGCTGAATTTCCATACCACGCTAAAACAATAATCCTTTACTCTGCTGCCGCGAATTTTCTAGCATGCATCAAAATTCATGTAATATTTCCCCTTAACTCTCCAAATTTTAACAAGCATTACATTTGGACCTAAAGCCTTAATTTGTACACCTTTTTTTAGAGCTAACGCTATTCCACTTTTTTTTAGATATACTTAAATTATTTATTCTCTTTCTTCTTTCAAAATAATTTTATTCTTAAAAGTTCTCGTTTAGTAATTTCTTGAAGAGACATTTTTATCTTTCATTGATGTCTTCATCTTTAATTAAGATTCTAGCTTATCTATTTTGATCAAAATCCCCGTAACTAGTATTTCTTATCTCAAGCATTCAATATTTTCGCTTTTTCTACTAAGTCACTTCCAAGACTATCATATAGATTATCAAAAGGCTTAAGCTTTCTTTTATTCACTATGTTCTTTGCAAGGCTTTTAGTTTTCTTGTAAGTATTATAAGTCTTAATATATTCAATTTTTTCCACCTTTTATAAGCACATTTCGTTTGTAGCTTTCTTTCCTCCAGTAAGCCTCCTCATTCATGTATGATCTATTTCTAGACTCTTCTAAACATTTTCTTAGCTATTTTAGAAATTTATCCAACATAATGCTTGACTTGAATAAAAAAATTTAAATTGCCTTCATAGAAACCTATTTTGAAATATTAATAATTTCTCACTTCTTAAATTGCACTGCATTTTCTAGGATTATAATTTGTTTTGATTGAGTTTTTTATACTTTTAAGCTATAAATTCATAAGTATCACCCTATATTGTTGTTAAGCTTTCTTTTGAATCATCTCACAATTGTTGTAAGAAATTTTTACTTTCCTAAATGATCTGAAGTAACGTAGGTATCAATCAAGGTCGTTTCTTGATCCTAAAGCTAGTTATTAGGCGGTAAGAAATGTTACAAGAAAATCGTGAATGGAAATTCTAGTTTTTAATTAAGTTGGAAACTGTGGTTCATAAATTTGAAACATAGTACATACTTGAGACCTGATATCGATAAAACTAAATAATTCCATCATATCTGAGCTGATTTATATGACCTTAAATAGTTTCTTAGCTTGAGCATTGCTGGTTTTATTCATATTGAACGAACAATTACCAAAAAATTTGCGAAATGCATAAAGGTATATTGAAATAAAATCTAAACTTTCCATTGCAACAAAGCCATGCAACTGCGAATGTAGTGATTCCTATTTAAAGCATTCAATAGTGATTCATGATCCATAGTAAATCTCATTTTAGCAATGCAATCACAGGGACAACTTTCTTCGCAAAAGATTTCTAAAGAAGTTATTGTTGATTTTATGAAGATATCTCTATTTTTCCCTATCATTAGGGACAACCTTCTTAGGCATGTTATTTTCTTTTTGCAGGTCTTCTACGTTCAAATGTTTGTGTCAATCTTTCTGCTTTTGAGATCCACCATTTGACTGATCGCATAATTGCTAAATCAAATGAGATACATGATCTAGTAGCTTCAGTTCACCTTGAGAATGTACGTGGTTTCCTTGAGTGCTGCAATATGCTTATGTTTCTATTTCTATTCTTTATTGGCTATATATGAAATACAATAATTTATTTTGTTCACCTTGAGATAGTACGTGGTTTACTTGAGAATAATCGTTATGTAGACTTTGCCTCCATATTGTAAAAGACATATTTTTTTTGCATGAGAATGAAGTTATATACAAATATTTGATTTTTTTTTAAAAAACATGTTCCCTTTATTAATCAGCTTTGTCTCATTAATATTACCTTGATTCAACTTATAATTGAATCTAACTATCTGTAATTATAATTATTACTATAAAATTAATTTATAAATTTGATTGACTTAGCTTGAATTAATATAAGAATTGATTTAGTGTCAGTTTTTTTTGATTTAATTCAAATTTGGGACAATTTAAATAATTTAAGGTGAGATTAGCATAAGTTGTGGTCGATCAACTCTATTAATATTGTTTTGAAAATCATTTTGGATTGTTCTTTGACCGACTGTATTGAAAACACTACCTTAAATAGTTTGATTTAGTTAAAAATTTGGCATTACTAGAAACTAGGAAAACTCACTTGAACTTGTGGTTAAAAATTGATTTTAAATCATAAAAAAAAACTCGCTTGAACTAGTAGGAAATATATTCTATAGGTTTTATAAAATAAAATAGAAATTGCCACATATTGCGCAATTATTATTGATTTACATATCTAACACCTTAAGTTTGATATTTATATTTAACAATTGGTGTTATAGGACTGTGCATGAAAATGTGTGTTTCACTTTTAAAAGGATAGAAATAGTGATATTTTTGATGTTATATTCAGGATTTGGGTGTTGTGTATGTAAATATAAAAGTTTTTGTTAGATATGCAAATTTATAAGAATTATGTGGTAAGAAAATGCCCCAAATTGTAACTTGATGCCAATGAATATATATTTCCATTTATTTTCCTTAACTATCAAATCATATATGATTTTAGCATACTTATGTAGCATACTTATGTACTTAAAAATAATAACTATGTACGATTGCACAAACATGTTTTTTGTGTCAACGAAAGGATGGGAATAATATGGCTTGAGAGTCGATTGGCTACAGTAGCTGCGGGAATAGGATAGGATTTGGAAGAATAATTAAGGTTTTAATTAATCTAATTAAATTTAAAACTTTCAGATTTTATATCTCCCGATCTGTTCATAATTTACATACAGTGTTTTATATCAAATTGATCGATTTCATACGTAGAATTTTATAAAATTATATTGATTGAATTATGAGGATGCGAAGTCTGAGTTAAAATTTGCCGAACGAACTTGATTTCTCAACTTTTGGGCATTATGACCCTCCCTTATAAATCTATAGGCAAATAGATCAATCTTTTTTATAATTTCAAAAGGACCGATGTACCTGGGCTCAATTTGCTTCTTTGATCAACTCTAGCTGTACTTTTCATTTGTCTGACTTTTAAAAATACGAAATCTCCAACTTCAAATTAAAGTACTTTGTGCTTAGGGTTATAGTATTTATGCCATCGATTCTGGGCATCTTTCAATTAGTCTCTGATTAGTTTGATTTTCTCTGTTTCTTCATCAATTAACTCCAGACCTAAAATTTGACATTTCCCCACTTCGACCCAATTCAATGGAGTTTTGAATTTTCCGCCATATGGTGCTTCATAAGGAGCCATTTTAATACTGGGCTGATAATTCTTTTTTGTATGCAAACACGATCATTGGAATGTGATCTTTCCAACTACCTCCAAAGTCGAGAACTCTAAGCCTTAATAGATCTTTCAATACTTGACTTATTCTTTCTGATTGCCCTTCAGTTTGTGGATGAAATGCTGTGCCAAAATATAATTGTCTACCTAAACCTTGCCGAATACTTTTCCACAACCTGGGCGTGAATCTTTCATCTATGTAAGAAATTATAACTTTTGAAATACCATGCAATCTGATAATTTTTGTCTTACATACAATCTATCCAGCTTTTCAACTGTATCTGGTTGTGTGATTGGTAAAAAGTGAGTTGACTTTATCAGCCTATCAATAATCACCCAAATGCTATCTTGTTCCTGCCTGGATTGAGGAAATCTCATAAGAAACTCCAAAATAATTTCTTCTCATTTTCATTTAGGCATCGACAATGATTGTAGTAATCCGCTTGATCTGTTATGCTCAACCTTGACAATTTGACAAGCTTTACATTTATACATATTCATCATCTTTCTTCATACCTGACCACCAGAATGCCAACTTCGAGTTCTTGTACATTTTTGTGCTGCCTGGATGAATTGTGTATCCAAAATGATGAGCTTTATGCAGAATTTCTTGTCTCAATTCAGAATCAGTAGATACCCATAATTGCAGCTTCTTTCTGATTACATCATCTTCATCAACCGTCAGAGCGAACCTCTTTTCTAATTGATAATGCTTCAGAAGTTTCAGATGTTCGCTATTATCTTTCTAAGCTGTCTTGATTCTCTCCATCAAATTTGTTCACACTGTCAGTTGATGTAAATACACACTGTATCATGTTCTTTTGATTTCCAACTGTAAGGCATCAATTTTTTTAATCAACTCTGGTCTTTGAGTGATAATCCAGCATGCTCCGATAGTTGCTAAATCTTGCGAGCAAACATTACAACAACTAATTCCAGATCATGCACCGATAGTTGCTCTCATGTGGCTTCAACTGTTTGGATGCATAGACTATTATCTCTTTATTTTGCATTAAAACACATCCCAAGCTTCTTAATGACTCATCACTGTAAATCTGAAATCCTTGTGTGCTTGATGGAAGAGCTTAACACTGGAGCAGTTGCCAAATGTTTCTTCAACTATTGAAAACTGTGTTTACATTCTGCAGTCCACTCAAATTGAACGTTTTTTAATGATGACATAGCTATCCTTGAAAACCTTTGTCATTCCAAGAAAACTGTGTAACATTTTTTTGGAGTAAGCCATTCCACAATTGCTTTCACCTTCTGAGAATCAAATAAGATTTCTTGTCCACTGATAATGTGTCCCATAAATGCAATATTTACCAACCGAAATTCACATTTTGAAAATTTTGCATACAATTGATTTTGCTTTAGCAGCTCCACCCCTTTTTTTCAGATGCTTGATATGATATCATCAATAAAAATAATAAAAAAATTATTAGATTATAACAATTATCTTTGATTTTATTCCCTAATTATATTTTTCATCTTTTGCTTTTTTCTGTTTTATTTTCTTTTTTTGTTATTTTATTCCATTTTTATTGCTTTCCATTATTATGCCAATTGTAATTGAGCGTAAATACCTATTCTCCTATCAATAAAATTGTGCCCTCTATTTTAAGTTTCAATATTGCATCAGAGCCTAACCCTAAATCCAACAGCCCCGACCTCTTCTTCGGGCTCCTGCTGCCGCCACCTCTACCTCCACCTCCACCTTCTAGTTGCTAGTTCAAGCAAATTGTAGAAATCCTCTGTTTATGCAGGAATCCAATGACATCCTCTGTTCCTGGAGGAACCTCTGCCGGATTCAGTGATTCAGTGAACTACAGTGCCGGATTCAGTGAACTACAGATTCACGCAGGAATACAACATTTTTTGTCTCGTACAACAAACTGCATGAATCCTGTAGTTCAAGCAACCTCCCGTCCAATTCCTTCTATTCGTAGGATTCCTTTGCTCCTACGCAGTCGCGTACAACAAACTACGCAGTCACCAACTAACCCTAAATCCAACAGCCTCGACCTCTTCTTCGAGTTCCTGTTGCCGCCACCTCCACCTCCACCTCCTCACCTCCACCTCCTTCTAGCCGCTAGTTCAAGCAAACTGCAGAAATCCTCTGTTCATGCAGGAATTCAGCGACATCCTCTGTTCCTGGAGGAACCTCTGCCGGATTCAGTGAACTGCAGGTTCACGCAGGAATACAACATCTTTTGTCATGTACAACAAACTGCAGGAATCTTGTAGTTCAAGCAACCTCCCATCCAATTCCTTCTGTCCGTAGGATTCCTTTGCTCCTACGTAGTCGCCAGCTTCCCTGCAAGGTCAACCAATCGATCTTTGCCTAGCGTGCACCGCCGGTCTGCCCCAGCTTACCGTTGGTCTCCTTTGTTTCTGCTGCCTCTGTTATGCAGGAAGAATTCCTGCAATTGGCCTGGTACTTGCAATTCTAGAAATTGTATCTGTTTGTCGCGATTCTACCAAAATTCATTAATGACTCAAAACCATAACATATTCTTTGCGTAGTCGGAATTATGGTGGATTCCTCTAACTCTAAACCACCGTCAGAAAGGGTTCTTGATCCAATTTCCGCTCCCTTGCAGACGGATGATCATAAGCCAACATGAGTTTTTTAATCATAACTCGTATATTGAATGACTGTAACATTTTCCAATGGTCTCAAGCTGTGTCTTTGTTCATCAAAGGACGTTGAAACTTTGGTTATCTCATAGGTGTGGCTCTTGATCCGACTTAAGGAGCTTGGTAAATGGAGAACTTTATGGTCATGCCATGGCTGCTCAACTCCATGGATACCTCAGTTGGTCTTTCATACACGTTCCTCCCTACTGCTAGTTTTCTCTGGATGGTAGTCCGTGATATCTACTTCGATATAGGAAATTTTAGCTGATTATATATGGTATTTAAGAAGATCCGGGAGGCAAAACAGGGGTCAAAGACCGTGACCTAGTATTATAATGACTTTGTTGCACTATGGATGAAATGCGACATGTACTACGACTACACTGGAGATTCTTCGGCCATCTTATCCTCTTCCAGAAGATTATAGAAAAGAATCGTATGTTCCAATTTCTTGCTGGTCTTAAAAAAGATCTAGATGAATTCATGAAGAATTCCTTGCTGGCCTTAAAAAAGCCTTAAAAAAGACCGTGATGAATCTATGACAAAAAATGTCTCTTTTCACAGTTTATCATTGACCTACATAGGATTTGCTACTGCCTCGACGGACCATCAGATCCCTGCTATTATTGAGGTTGC